AATACTCAATACGTTCCCAAATACTTGTGAAAGAAATTTGCAAGTGATTCGGCTGGGAATCGAACCCATGACTTCCAGATAACTAGCCTGGTGTGATAACCAGTAGACCACTGGGCTTGCGCTTTGTGAATCCAATCCCCAAGTGGCAGCGGGTACTGCAAATGCTATTTCAATGTCGTCTAAGATACTCTACATAAACTAGGTATCATTATGGGGCTTTAGAAGTGGAGTTGTACTTTCACAGGATATGAACCTAAGACCGTGGGATTAGAAGGCAACCATCTTAACCGCCAAGCCACAATTCCATCCCATTTATTACTCACGTTAATTGTAATCATTTTGGGTGATCTTTTCAAGTACAGTTCTCTCACTAATTTAATAATAATAATATTCAATTATTTATATCTGCGCCTTTTTTTGCAGATATGAAGCGCTTTTGTCTTAGGTCTTGGTCCACATTTTTGCTGCCTTTTTATCACAGGAGCAGGTAGCTCCATGGAACAGGTTCCCATTTATACTCATGGGTGAAGAGAAGCAATGCAGATAATGTTCTTGCTCTAGAAAAAAAGAGTAAAATGCACAGCTATGGATTTAAACCTCGACATAAAGGTTGGGAAACCAAACCATTTCCAGCTGCGCCAAACTACATAAAATTGCTTGAACAGCCAAGTTTGATATTATATACCGGTAAGTCAAAATACAGTGTTACGAGAGACAATTTGTGTGCCTCCGCACCAAACAATAATGGTTATACTGTACTAGCAAAAATTAAAATGCAGAACATCTTTTTGACGTTTATTAGTGTTTGCTGTTATCCACTAATGTGAATGTGAGCCCGGGTGTGAGTGTATGTACTTGACTAGCCGATGAGAAATCCACGTTTGCATTTTCATCGGAAAAGGGCTGAAGAACATAGGCAGGGCAAACATAATAGCATATCGCATAGCCATCAGCATCATTTTTGAAATGATCCGGCAATTATAAGAGCAGCATATCGCTAGAAATTAATTAACGGAGACGGGGAAGAGGCAGGTGGAGCGATTTGTTTAGTAGATATTTGGAAATGTACTCCCTCTATTCTGAAGAGTTTATCATTAAAAACTTTCTACATACCGTAAAACCTCGAGTTGAAGCCCTGTGCTTCTTTTTATTGCGAACTCTAGATGGGCTTCTTTTCGAGGCTACTTTTGCAAAGTAAAGAGGGGGAGGAATGGCTTCTTTTCAAAATAAAAGCTGTAAATTTTGTAAATTTTTAGGCTGCTATAAAACAATAAATACGGCCACTGTAACATCAATCTGTATCATGGAGTGTATTTAACTGACATTAAATCACCTATTACTGTATAAACCAAGCTTGTTTTTAATTTATTTTGTTTTTTAAATTTATGTACAGTGTAGATACTGCACTATCTCGAAAAGAAGCCTATCCTATCTTGAAAAGAATCCCATGTGCTATTTTCGGGGCTAATTTTGCAAAAAAAGAGGGGTCTTCAATTCTAAACGGACTTCACCTCGAGATTACGCCCACTGGGTTTCAATTCGAGGTTTTACGGTGATAAAATAAAAATGTAATAATATCAGAATTATACAACTTTGTATGAGCATGCGGTCTCAGCAGCTGTTCTATGGCGTCCCTATTATTTTAAGCATAGCTAATTTGGCGACCCAACATTCGTTCAGCTAATATTTTCATGAAAATGTTCTCTATGAAAACCGTTTATATTTCGATTAAAAACACCTAAATAATTGAGGTGACCAACTACTATTATTACACAAAGATGGGGAATCTTATAAAAGTATGTAATTATATTGTGGGAGAGCTAGACTCGTGGTAAACAATCTATTTTTTTCTGTTTGACGCTAAATTATACGCAAGAGAACTTACACATTGTAATAATTTCAGAATTATAAAAAATTTGTAAGAATTCTGTTTTTGTTCTCAATCTTCAAATCACCAAACATAAAAGTCTTTATTGGGAGGTTCCAATACTTAATGGAAGTTGATCTTTACTGCAGCGGAACGCCTATGGAATCTCTGGAGGGGTGAAACACTAGGCCCCGGTCCTAAGGGATCCTACTAATACACTGGCTCTACAACAGAGCCTTGACATTACAGTCTAGATTAGGACACCTGGAAAACTAGTTAAAGTAAAACAATGTTTCTCTGTTTTAACTCGAAAATGCTTTTTATATATACGAACATCAATTCCCGTCTCAGAAGTATTCCACAGCAAGCCAACCTAAACTGAAACTAAATGGTGAACAATATGATTGTTAATTGGCTACTAAAGTATACAGAAGAATTAACATCAATAAGATATCAGCAAACGTCAAATATAAGAAAGATAATAGATGGTATTGTTGACAATTAAACTATAATAATATACTGTGAGGATTTAATTGTCACACAACATATTCTAATGGTCCATTGCCCTCATTGGTAGGGGCTGAGATGAGCAAATTTGGAAAATGGCATATCTCTAGCATGCCTAATCAAGATTTGTAAAGGGGTTCTAATTTTTTTTAACAAAACTGCACTTAACTCCACGGTAAATTTAAAAGATATAACACCTCAGATGTCTGAAAGCGGCGATAAAAATGCAAATTTCAACTACTTCCAAGCAAATGGTACTTTTTAATAATAATTTAAAAGCGCATTTCTGGAAGATGTGATTCTTTTGAACTCCTCGAACGTTCCGGCTACGAGTGTGGCTAGGTGACAACGGGCCCCAGTGGCCTTTAATAATATGAAGGATCAACCAATGGCCGTAGGCCTGAGTTACGACAAGTGTGAAAGTGGGGGAGTTGGTTGTACTAGGAGCTGTAAATTTCCCCTGCAGGATAGGAATTCCTTAAAGATCCGACGTTTGAAATTTTCAAGAGCCGAATTTTGAGTCGGAAGAATGAAAATTGTAGGACTTGGTATACCAATTCACGTTTTCAGAAAATTCATCGTAAGTGCTTCTTTTCAATCCCTACTCCTAATGGCCTAGGCTAGTAATAAAATACTAACATAATCGTAACTATTTCAAGATGGGCATGCGGTCTCAGCAGCTGTTCTATGGCGTCCCTATTATTTTAAGCATAGCTAATTTGGCGACCCAACATTCGTTCAGCTAATATTTTCATGAAAATGTTCTCTATGAAAACCGTTTATATTTCGATTAAAAACACCTAAATAGTTGAGGTGGCCAACTACTATTATTACACAAGCACTGAAATAAATAATCGATATTTGTCTCACAAGCTGTTCACCACTTGCCTGTATCGAACACCAAGATGAAAGATAAATTTAATTAATATAATAAGC